GTGCTGCTGAAGTCCAAGACAGCCTCACAGCAAAGAGAGTCTCTGCACGGCTATCAGAGAGGAGGAGAAAGCCTGGAGCCTGTAGACCGTGTCAGTGTTTCAAGGATGAGCAGGTTACACATCTGATTCTCATATGTTAAATGATAAAATACGTGAATATATTAGAAACGATGCTACTCTGCTTGTTTGATTCATTTACAACACTTGTTTACTTTCCATCAAATCATGAGTAGCAACATAGCACAGCTCATGTTTTAAATCTCTTCTTACATCTTAAGATCTGGCAAATTTTTGAGGGTCATTTCCTGTGAGAGTGGTCAATGTATCTGATGGAGATTTGTCTCTGCAGGATTGTTAAAGGATGTTCTTAAGGATGTTCTTGTGTCTTACTGCCTATTTCCACTTACAGCACACTCAAGTGAAACGCCAGCGCTCTCCAAGTGCAGTCATCCTTCCCCAGAAAAGGAGGAAAACCAAGGTTGTCTGTCTGTCCTAGACTTTCTGCAGTGGTGCTAAATTGATAACAAATAAATGATAGCTATATGTCTTCCACCCCTCAGGCCTCTACCTCAGATGCAGACGACACGTTCACAAGACCATCAGCCACCATCCCTGATGCTGAGCTGCCTCCGGTCTCAAATACAGCCCACAATCTTCGACCCTCTACTGTTGCACCTCGGCCAGACAGCCCTCTAAAGATCCACAACCGCTCAGTAGAAGAAGTACCAGCAGGTGTACCATGAAGTGGTCGATGATATGCTGAGGTCAGTGTGGATCAAACCTCCTTTTGTCCCCCGCCCGACAAAAAAAAAAATGGCTTAAAACTTTCTATTTCTTCTGTTCCTCACAGAGACGAGAACGGACAGCTCCGTCCATACAGTTTGGAGCTGGGACGCTATGGGAAAGACTGAACCGTCCCACAATGATTATGTCTACTGATGAAGACGGCCGCCTTCACGTGGACGTGACTTACGGAGTTGAAGAGTGTCCTCCTGAATTTAATGTGGATACTACAAAAGAACCCGAGTGCTGAGCTGAACAGCTCAGAGAAACAGTGAAAGGAATGAGAACAGTTACTGAGTCTGTGTAAATAAGCTTTAAATAATCTGTAAATAAAACTTTTAAATAAATTCATTAGTGACAAAATCATCTGCAGGACTCAAATTGCTGAGGCACCACCCCTCAGCTCCACCTTCACACTTTGCATTCACCGTAATTCTGTCTGCCCACTCGGATAAACTCCTCTTGCTCCTACAGCCTCCATCCTCTTCTAGAAGTTCTTGCAAAAAACTAAAAAAAACTAAATGTAACCAGAGTAAAGCAATCTCTCTCTCTTCTTATCTCAGAAAGAGCTGTCATAAAGCTTCTCACCTTTCAATTCATCTGTGCATCCAGCCTTTACATTACTCCCAAAATGTTGCCACAGTTGGCTATCACAGTCAATGAAAACTGTGCTTATGGTCAATCTCATAAAAAACTGTAGTTGTGTTCATATACAGGTGTGTCCCTCTACCCTTAACAATGACTTAAGCTGGGAAAGCTGAGAGGTCAGCAGGCATTTTCTGTTGAAAAGTTGAAAGTGATGCAAAAAATAAAGAAGAAGTTAGAGGAAAAATAAAGATATTTTGAATGCCAGTGACAGCATTTTAAAGAATCATTCCAGTCTTTTCAAAATCTTGTTTCTTCCCAGGTTTTCTCAGCTTCTTGCTGCAGACAGACAAACGGACACCTGTCCATTCTTAAGATGAAGATGTCACCATACGATGAAGTAACACAAGATGTCATAGTTTGACTGTCTTCTCAAGATATGTCACTATACTCTGAGCTGACCCATTGATGTTAATGATTCATCAAACACATCCATCAACACCAACGCCCATGTGAACACTCATAGCTACAACTGGAAACCGTTGGTTGAGTCATTGGCCTGATAACTGCCGTCGTTTGACCTCTTAACCTGACAAATATTTGCTGAATTGATGATTTCCATGTCAGGTTTTGCACAATTGCCTTTACTTATACTTCTTTTTGTTTTGCACAGAAAGATTTGACTTTTAGTTGTTAAACATTGGACTGAGCACATACACACATACACAGCAGAGTGTAAAGTGTCTGTGCATCTTTAGGTGTGTTTGCTGAAAAAGTAGTTTGACCAAATAACTGTAGTTCTGTGTTTCTGTCCTTCTGTGAATGTTTTTTCGTGTCTATTCCATTCATGTTGGAGACAAGAGGAAAAATGCCCATTAAGCTTTTGCTACATGCACTAATGTCACGCAACACAGGGATGATGTGTAGTGTAAAACAGACTAACACTGGGTCTCATTTGTTTGGTGTCTCTTGGCTGTTCACAGGTCATTTTTTCTAAAGACTTGATACATGTAAGCTTTAGACTTTTAATACGTCAAAGAATTGCTTTTGTATTAACTTTGACGTGAGTCTAATTAGACTTAAGCAGGTTGTGTCTGATCTAATGAAAAGACAAACATCCTTATTTTGTTTGTTTACTGATAAAGAATGAGTATCCTCAGCTACAAGGAGTATTGGCAGGATAAGGTCAAGGTCTCTCGATCACACAGTCACACAGTATTTCATTGTTTTGTCATATGCAGCAACACCAACACCTGTTCTAACTACATCATAGGTAGATTTGGAAACCCTGAGTTGCCTTAAAAACCTGATAACCACTTTCGTGTGACCTCTTGACCTGATCAGAATTTACTAAAATGATGATTTTCATGTATTCACTTTTATTTTGCACAGAAAGATTTGACCTTTAGTTGCTGGACCAAGCAGATTTACATTTTATACACAGACACACACACAGACAAGAACTGCTGTGTGTGGGTCTGATGTTGCTGTTGTAACTATGCTGCTTACAGGGAGCAAGTTTAAAGGGGCATTTTCAAGGCTAGTCATAAATCTTCAGTCAATAACAACCCACCAGGCTGTGCTGTGAGGTAGCAGTGAGAACAATGAGAACACCTGAGCCTAAAAAGGAAGTACTTTTTGTTTCTGTGAAATAGCTCCAAGCCAGTAGGACTCTGTCTTAACCTGCTTTGGTTTTATGTTTCATTATGGAGGCATGTGGGTTTTAAACGGCATAAAGTACAGTCTTCCATGGAAAACTGAACTGACTGATGAATGTCGGTTGGAAAGAATTTACACATCGGCCAACCTCACTGGGTGTCTCACTGCCTCCATCAGGATTTTGGTGGATGAGCCTAACAGAAAGAAGTTTAAACTCAAATAGCAAAGAAAAATAACACATCGGTCTGTGATGGATTGTAATTAATGATGTAATATAAAAGAGGTCACCTAAACACATGAGCTATCAATGGAAATGGAAAGCCCAGGATAGACTGGACTTAGTACATCGGGACTTAGCAGGATAGTTTAAATAAGACAAAAGATATAGACCAAAAACAAATGTCCATTACAGAGGACATAAATGGATAGGTTGGTTCTCAGGAGGATCACATCAAAGTTCTCACTCCCATTCTCATATTTACATAACATTTATAATCTTTATAAACATTTGACTCTGTGGCCTCCTTTCAGTGGTCACTCCCCTTGTATGTTTGTCCACTTCTTCGCGTATCTCCTGATATAAGCAGCACCTTTCCCTGCTCTGAATTGCATTCTTTCTCCTGTCCAGTCACGTAGAGCTCCTGGTCTTTCATCTCTACAGTCTAATACAACAGAAAGGCATCTTTCAGGTAACAAAAAACTCTAAAGTGTTGTGTTTTTAAGTTGTGTTTGGTTGTAATGAGATCAGTGAAGAACAGCTTTTTATTTTTGCAGAATACATCTTAGCTTTTGATTTTCAAGTAGTCAACGACTTGCTTTTGTATAAACGTTGACTCCAGTGTTATAAAACTTAATCAGGTTCCTTTTGCCTTACTGAGTAGACAGACATCTCTTATGTGTTAAGGTTGACCTATGTACTCCTTCAGGAGAATGCACCTCAGAATATGGAGGAAGAAACATGTTTATTACATTCACACAGACTCACACACAACAATACACACAACTCTGTTCTTAATTTTGTAACTGTGGAAATAGTTTGGGAAGTATTTTATTTCCAAAGAGAGGCATTTTCAAGGCTATTCATAAATCTTGTGTAAATAACAATAGTGAGGTAAATCACAGTGACGCAGCAGTGACAATCACCTGAGTCTGAAGGGGTACTTGTTTCTGTGAAAATGGTCCAAACCAGTAGGACCCTGTCTCAACTTTCATTGTGTGTTATATTCACAATTGCCACTGTAACCAAATACAAAATTAAACAAAAAGTAAGTTAAAAACCAAAATGTCTGTTCCAGCGAACATAAAAAAAAATCTTCGATGTAATGTTAAGTCTTTTGTGTGATTTGGTGCTTATCAAATTAATTAATGAATAATCCAAAAAGTAGCGATATTAATGCTAAAAAAAAAAAACAAGAAAAGAAAGAAAAATATTTCCTCCAAACAAAGCTTCTAAATTTTAAATGCGCAAATCAGTCCGTGCATGATTACATTGCTCCGCCCATCAAAAAGTCGACTGCGCGATATCGCCTCATTTATTGGAATGACGCATGTCGGTTGAAAACATTTACATATCGGCCAACCATACTGTCTGTCTCACTGCCTTTATCAAGATTTTGGTGGATGAGTATAATAAAGTTTCTGGCCACACTCTTTACTCCCTCATCTAAAACTGGATGCTGGCCTTACAGAAAGAAGGCAGACACAAGTTGGAATATAATTAAGGACATTTAGACATCTAATGTATTTGGGTATGCAAAATGAGGTACTTTTACTGTTTTCATTGTACATTTGCAGCTTGGTCCAGAAACTGAACTCCTGGTCAGTTACTAGGACCATACTGCCAAATTCACCTGCTTCTTGGAAGATTTTCTTTCCTTCCCTGCTAACCCCGAAGTAGCTGTGACACACTTCCTTTCTTCATTTTTTCAGTGGAAATACATTTTAAAACAATGATCTTTGCCAATTTGCAGAGGACACTTCATATTCTGATTAAACATTCATTTATGGTCACATTTTGCACCAGTGGTGATAAAAGGAGCTGTCTCTCATCAGTGGTCCCTCCCCTTGCTTTTTCCTCCTTAGCACATAACCTTGTATAACCAGCTCCATTCTCTGCTTTCATTTTTATTCTTTCTCCTGTCCTGTCACGTAGAGTGTGTTTCTCTTAAACTGTTGGGCTACAGCGTAATACCACAGAAGGAAACTTTCAGGCATTTGGGTGTAATAAGATTAAACCTGATGTGTTAACAACTTCCTCTTTCTGCATCCTAACCTTATTCATCAGTCTACAGAGGGTAAATCCTCTACACTATGTCATCTAACCAATCATTCAAAAACCAACATGAAGAAGCCTACGCCTCCCTGATGAGAGGCCTGAAGGAGCTGGACCTACAGATATCCTATGTTCCCAGTGACCTGGTCCTGATCGGAGACCATGCCTTTCCTTTAGCAATGAACAGCCGAGGTCAGGTGCTGATGGCTGCCTCTCTGTACGGCAGTGGAAGGATTGTGGTCCTGGGTCATGAGGGCTACTTGACAGCCTTTCCTGCTCTGGTAGAAAATGCTCTGACCTGGCTGAGAGGTGATGGCTCTGATAACCTCTCTGTAAGGGTGCACAGAAAAGTCAGTGCAGTTGCTAATAGCCTCCAAAAATCCAGCTTCCAAGTAGAAGTTGTGGGAGCCTTCAGTGACAACCTGGGAGTTGGTGTTTATGTGACCGATCCCTACAGCGTGGGCTCAGACCCAAAGGAGCTGGTGGCGTTTCTGAAAGCTGGAGGAGGGGTGCTGATAGCTGGACAGGCGTGGCATTGGGCTGCAGATCACCCCAAAGAGAACGCACTGCATCAGTTTGATGGGAATAAAGTGGCAGGAGTGGCAGGAATCTACTTCACTGAGCGTTATGGTGAGGCGGAGAACCTGCCCGTCTACCCTCAGATCCCGTCCTCCTGGAAGTCGTTAGCGTGAGTATATGTTTTACTGCACGTTTACAAAAGTTCCACTTTCCATATAATAACTTTAAATTTTGTGTGACCTTTTGAGCTTTTGAAAACAGTTTTTCTCTCATTGAAAGAGTCTTCCTAAGGTTAAATTTGGGACTAATACCATTTCTTTATTAGCTAATTTAATTTATATTGGGAGCGGGAGGGGAAGATCCTCCACAAAAGTCCATCAAAGGACTTAGTTTGTGTGTGTGTGTGTGTGTGTGTGTGTGTGTGTGTGTGTGTGTGTGTGTGTGAGTGACTCTATCTTTTCAGAAAAGTCAGTTTATTTTTACAGAGTTTACATAGTTTTCACAAATAGGTTAATTTACAAACCACTGATTTTTCTTATATGAAGAAATGTGTACAGTTATTCTTAAATCACTTTAATTCTGCACATGTCACTTTTCTATTCCACTTTTCAAATACAGGACAGGCAGGGATTTCAAGGATGACTTGGGGTTCTTACTCCAGGGGGTTTCAGAATTCAACCTCCCCTCTGAGTATCTGTGTTCTGAGGTTCTAGTCCACAGCCCACTAGCCTTGCCCATCGGCACTACAGAGGATGGACGACCATTCCTGGCAGGAGCCTACTATGGGCGAGGACGGGTCATTGTGGTTACACATGAAGGATGTCTTGGAGTTGAGGTAGAGTCAACATTAAATGTTAGTCATAAAATTTCAAAGTCAAAATCTTTAGAGGGTTAGGTATTAGACCTCAGGATGATTTAAAGTGAAATGTGTGCTGATTGGACTTGTCTTTGATATATCACCAAATCCATGACTTCCTTTGCTGCTGCCTTCCCTTCCTTTTAGAGTATGGCTCCATTTTGGAGAAACGCCATTCACTGGTTGGATGAAGGGCGCAGAGGGGTTGTTGGTGTCATGGTGGATCCTGCACTCAAAGTTCTGAGTGAGTCTGGGCTGAAGTGCGAGAAGACAAACTTCAGGAAAGACCTCAGCGTGTTTGTGTGTAAAGCGTATATCACTGAGCATTTGGAGGAAATCCAAAACTTTGTGGCAGAGGGAGGAGGCCTGCTGATTGGAGGACATGCCTGGTACTGGGCACAGACACATGCTGGGCAAAATGTACTAACAGATTTCTCAGGTATGAAAATGCACAACAAGGGTTTCAAAATATACAGAGTAGAAATACTGGTAGTGTTCTTATTTTCCACCTAATTGTCCATGTGTAAAATGTGTTGTATACATGCAGTGCTGTAACAGACTCATACATTATAAGGTGTGATATGTTGTGATAAGTCAAGGATCAAAAAGGAGTCTTCTCATTAGTGGAAAAAAAACAAAGTCAAGACATTTCCAACCACATGACTCAGTAAATTAAGTCAAACTGGCTTTACTTTTTTCAGGGAACAAGATCCTGAACCAAATGGGATTGAGCCTTTTGGGAGCAAAAATCCGTGCAGGAACATACAAAGCCGCTGTACCCAGCTGGCCAATTAAAGATACTTACCACTTCCGCCACCTTCTACACCGCTTCGCTGCCCATGTGACTACAGGTGTAGAACTTAGTAAGCATGAGGAGGGATGTCTTAAAAAGCTGGGCAACGACTGTGATGCTTACTTGCGCACAAAGGCACGTGGCTGCTTCTATTACACTCAAGTGTTGGCTGCACTCACTGACATGTTAAAGAGGTCAGGCCTGCCACAGGTGAGTAGAGAAAAAACATTTGAACAGCACAGAGTAGTGCACTGATCATTATATGGCAGCTGTTAACCACTAAGATGTTACACTAATATGTTCTTCTTTCAAGGTGAGTAACAGCTGCCCTGCAAAGACGCCAAAAGACCATCTACTCCTCAGTGTGGGATCACCTGTATATGAGTTTTGCCTAAATCCTGAGGCCCTCCTGCCCTACCTCATCAAGGATAGGCCACTGATGCCAGACGTCTATAACCACAGGCTCAAGATCGATGTTACCACAGCAGGTCAGATTTCATGTTTGTGGACAAATGTGTCAACTGTGAATATGTCACAACCAGTGTGCAAGCCACACTCAAACACGAAACTTAGTGGGTCAGATTCAGTGAGTTCATTTACAGTCCAAGTGATGTGATAACTACTTACAAAATCTTCAAGCAAGAGAAAATCCACAGTTTCTATCTACTAAGTCTGTAGAAACTCGTAATGTTCACTAGTGAAATCCTGAACTTCCGATCCCACATGACACAGAAACGGATTCTCCCCCACAAATTTCTCTCTCTCAGAGATAGACGCCCAGTGACACTTTTTTTTCTTCAAATTTGTGTGTGTGTGTGTGTGTGTGTGTGTTAGATGGGGAAGAGTGGATCAGCACTGGTCTCTACCTCTCTCCTGGTATGAGTACCTACATGGTGATGCCAACTGAGATTATCAACAAGGAGTGGAAGGTGAAACCTACAAAATTGTATAATTTAAAGTTCTTTCTCCTTCTGATGACACTACATGTTCATGAAAACCTCAAGTGAGGTTTGCATGACTCCTTTTTACCCTTTGTAACTGTAACAAGGTCCATTTGTAGTTGCAGCCATTTCAAAGATTGATGTAACGACCATGACATCACTCACAGGTGAAGCTCTGTTTTGAAGCTTTTGGGAGTGTTGAGTTATGCTGTGTTGTGCTGCGTGGCGTGCCGCAACAGCCCCTTAGGTTCTGCCTGGTTCATTCAATCTAAAGGACCAGCCCCACTTGATTTTTTCTGTCATTTAACAGCTCAAACCATCCCTGAAATCTCTTACTTGATTGGACGATATTGACACAGGAAAGTAATAGCACACCACAAGAAAGAAAATGTAATCATGACAACTGCTTTGTAAATCATTCCTGAATGCACTCTGTATTCAGGAATAAGGCTGTTTGCAAAGGCGACTGGTGTTGTTATTTGACGCTAAATCCAATAGATTTTCCATTTTATCTACAGATTCAGATAGGCTGTCAAACTGATGACCTACACAGAAAGGATGAGCTGAAGAGACCACCACGTGTTCATGAGCGATTTCCTGTTACATCAGAGATGATGCATGTGTCCAACCTGTGGGGGGGGCTCATCTACCTGGTGGCCCCACCCAACACACAAGTGAAGGGGTTGGAGATCATAGTGCAGAAAGCTGTAACTGTTCCATATTACAAGTCTGGTGAGTCTGTGGTTTATAACAGTGCTGTGTACTTTATGTCCATGGAGTTAATGGAAGATATCTGATAAGTCTTAATCTTATTCACTTGGATCACCTTCATTCTGATCCCAAGTGTTTTCAATGGACGATGCAGGTGAAACAATTTCAGTTCAACATGTTGAAAGTTAAGTAAAGAAAAGTAAACAAAAATCTAGTTAACAGCTTAACCCTCTCGTCTAAAACAGTGTACAAGGTTTGCTTAATTCTTATTATTCAAAGCCTTCAGCTTTACACAAGAGCCTGTTTTAAAACTTTAAAGGCTGTTTGAAGGGTGTAATCAAATGCATACAGTGGGGCAAAAAAGTATTTAGTCAGCCACCGATTGTGCAAGTTCCCCCACTTAAAATGATGACAGAGGTCAGTAATTTGCACCAGAGGTACACTTCAACTGTGAGAGACAGAATGTGAAAAAAAATCCATGAATCCACATGGTAGGATTTGTAAAGAATTTATTCGTAAATCAGGGTGGAAAATAAGTATTTGGTCAATAACAAAAATACAACTCAATACTTTGTAACATAACCTTTGTTGGCAATAACAGAGGTCAAACGTTTACTATAGGTCTTTACCAGGTTTGCACACACAGTAGCTGGTATTTTGGCCCATTCCTCCATGCAGATCTTCTCGAGAGCAGTGATGTTTTGGGGCTGTCGCCGAGCAACACGGACTTTCAACTCCCGCCACAGATTTTCTATGGGGTTGAGGTCTGGAGACTGGCTAGGCCACTCCAGGACTTTCAAATGCTTCTTACGGAGCCACTCCTTTGTTGCCCGGGCGGTGTGTTTTGGATCATTGTCATGTTGGAAGACCCAGCCTCGTTTCATCTTCAAAGTTCTCACTGATGGAAGGAGGTTTTGGCTCAAAATCTCACGATACATGGCCCCATTCATTCTGTCCTTAACACGGATCAGTCGTCCTGTCCCCTTGGCAGAAAAACAGCCCCATAGCATGATGTTTCCACCCCCATGCTTCACAGTAGGTATGGTGTTCTTGGGATGCAACTCAGTATTCTTCTTCCTCCAAACACGACGAGTTGAGTTTATACCAAAAAGTTCTACTTTGGTTTCATCTGACCACATGACATTCTCCCAATCCTCTGCTGTATCATCCATGTGCTCTCTGGCAAACTTCAGACGGGCCTGGACATGCACTGGCTTCAGCAGCGGAACACGTCTGGCACTGCGGGATTTGATTCCCTGCCGTTGTAGTGTGTTACTGATGGTGACCTTTGCTACTTTGGTCCCAGCTCTCTGCAGGTCATTCACCAGGTCCCCCCGTGTGGTTCTGGGATCTTTGCTCACCGTTCTCATGATCATTTTGACCCCACGGGATGAGATCTTGCGTGGAGCCCCAGATCGAGGGAGATTATCAGTGGTCTTGTATGTCTTCCATTTTCTGATGATTGCTCCCACAGTTGATTTTTTCACACCAAGCTGCTTGCCTATTGTAGATTCACTCTTCCCAGTCTGGTGCAGGTCTACAATACTTTTCCTGGTGTCCTTCGAAAGCTCTTTGGTCTTGGCCATGGCGGAGTTTGGAGTCTGACTGTTTGAGGCTGTGGACAGGTGTCTTTTATACAGATGATGAGTTCAAACAGGTGCCATTCATACAGGTAACGAGTGGGGGACAGAAAAGCTTCTTACAGAAGACGTTACAGGTCTGTGAGAGCCAGAGATTTTCCTTGTTTGAGGTGACCAAATACTTATTTTCCACCCTGATTTACGAATAAATTCTTTACAAATCCTACCATGTGGATTCATGGATTTTTTTTCCACATTCTGTCTCTCACAGTTGAAGTGTACCTCTGGTGCAAATTACTGACCTCTGTCATCATTTTAAGTGGGGGAACTTGCACAATCGGTGGCTGACTAAATACTTTTTTGCCCCACTGTATGTGACGCTGAAAAATTACAGAAATACAAAATACAGATACTATAGAAAATGTTTATATTTTTTAAAATGCAGTAATTCAAAGCATTTTAATAGATCTGCTCTATCTCTATCTCTCTTTGTTCTTTTCAGGTGCAACAACTGCAGCTGAATGGTTAACGCTGCGCACGGCTCCTGGGCCCTGGACAGAGTTGGAGTTTGAAAACATCGTCCTCACCGTACCATCACATGTTGTTCGGGGTCTGGAGCACCCCGAGGAGGTGGCCGCTCTCTGGGATGAAATCATGAGGGCCATTGCGGATCTGGCTGCCAAATCACACAAATTTCCCCACAAGGAGCGCTTTGTGACAGATGTGCAGATTTCTGCTGGTAAGTGCACTTTGACTCCCAAGGACATGAAACTAGTCCCAACTCACTGTGGATGACAAACAATTTAACTAAAACATCATGTTCATGCTCAGTGTGATACATTTTTATATTTGTTTTTGACTCTGTTGATGAGGGGATGCAAAGATTTCTAGAAAACAAAATATATATACAAAGAAAGGATGAGGAATATCAACTAAAGTAGATACTACTGGATTACTCACATACAACAAGATCAAGATGACCTGCAAAGGGTGGGATTTGGGAACTGACATGTGTCAATTCTGGTAGGTGAAAGAGGCAGGAAAACAAAATGTCATGTATTTTTCTTCTGTTAAGGCTGGATGCATTCAGGTTATCCCATCATGGCACACCATGCCTCAGCTGCTGAAGTAGTTGATGTTAAAAAAGGTAAAGAACTGTGGGGTCCCATCCATGAACTTGGACACAACCAACAGAGAAGCTGCTGGGAGTTCCGACCACACACCACAGAGTGTACATGCAACCTGTGGTCAGTGTATGTGAATGAAGAGGTGCTGGGCATCAACAGAGCACAGGTAGAGCAAATCAAGTGTTTTTGACAGTCTCATTTGTTTTATATTAGTCAACATCAAGAAAACTCTTTTTGTATCCTATCACAGCACATCACATACCTTTTTTGCTGTGATCACATGATTTCATAACTACATAACATAAATAGATTTAAAACTCTTATTTGTTTTACATCAATCATCATCAGAAAACTCATGACTGAGTTTGCTGTGATCACATGATTTAGCAACTATCTCATTCCATGTTCTTTCGTGCAGGCTCATGGTGATTTGACTTTAGCTAAACGAAAGAGTCGAGTAGAGGAGTACATCAAGGGAGGAAGGAAACTCAGTGACTGGAGTGTGTGGGTTGCCCTGGAAACATATCTGCAGGTGAGAAATTATAGAGAAATTTTGCTTGATCCATAGTAAAGAAAACACATGATATGAATACAGAGGTGGGTAGTAACTAGTTACATTTACTTGAGCAAGTTTTTGAAAAAACTTTGCTTTTAAAGTATACTCGACCCACCTCTGTATGAATAAGACTGAAAGACCATATAGACTTGCAGACTTATAGTGAAGGTAACATTAAATGGTAACAGGTTCTGATACTTTGGTCAAGAGATTATTGCTCCTAACATAAAAGACAGCTAATAGTTTGGCTTGTTGTTATAATTACCTTCTCTGTAGCTCCAGGAAAAGTTTGGCTGGGATGCCTTTAAGAAGGTTTTTGCTGCGTACCACCACATGAGAGACTTTCCTGATGACAATGACACAAAGATGAACCTGTATGCTGAGACTTTCTCGCAGACTGTGGGGATGAACCTGACCGGCTTCTTCAAGGCCTGGGGCTGGCCCATCAAAACAGCCACTGAGAGGAAACTGTCCCAGCTGCCTTATTGGAATGATCACCCCATGACCCAGTACAGATGAACTAAACACGACTGCGAAATAAAGAAATGTAACGAGTGAAACTTTAGTTCATTAAACGCTTTATATTAATCTTTTTATAACATTTATTGCATGCAGAGGAACGTTGTAGCTTTTTTCACAGTATTTGCACTGATCATTTGCTCCAAATTAGTACCCCTCCAATTTAACTAGATTTCTTTGAGTAAACTTGGACATTAACATGTCCTCTGTGCTTATTTTTATATCTGGGATTGTAAGAGAGGATGGGAAGAACTGTAAGTTGGGTTGCAGTGTAGAGGAGCTAAATATTATTATTGCTGTTCCTCAAAGTGAAGATCTGTTGCCATAATGTCAAAACGGCTTAGCTCTGTGAATTATAAAAAGGTAATTATTTAGCATACACACAGATTGCAGCTGGATTGTGAGCTGTGGTTATGCTGTTGCTTTTTGGTTTAATCAGTAATCATGTTTTTAATGCAGCAAGTAGCATTTCAGTAAGTCTGTATAATTCTGTAACCCATAATTATCACTCTGTAATAACCATGTAATGCTTTCACTGAACTTTGAACTTGTCAATCGCTATGGGACAACCTGGACTCATTTGAGAACTGATGCACACAATAAACAATAGTTGTATAATTAAGTCTGTCGGGGGTTTTTTTGTTTTTGTTTTACTATATACACCTTCCTGCAACACAGGCTGTTTGTTTTCCTTTTCAGACATAATTATGATGAAGAAGCCATCATTCACAGCCTTGCTCCCAGTACTTACTACTTTGAATGCATTTATTTCCTCTCACGCCCACGTCAACGTACTCTTGGCTTCCTTCGACATTGCTAGGTTGTGGATATGATAGAGTCGCAACATATGCTCATTAATCAACTATCTAAATTGCCACATTCTTGTCTTAGCAGGATCAATTTCTTTGCAAAACTACTCACTGGTGCCCGATGCTCAACCTCAAATGAAACAACTGCAGTTCAGATTTTCAGTATGTTAATTACGGTTGAACAAAAATATTGCATAACAAACACAATCCTTTCATTTCATGGGGTGAAAAGTAATTGGACAAATTAAAGAACTGAAAATAAAATGTTCATTTCTAATACTTGGTTGAAAACGCTTTGCTGGTAATAACAGCCCGAAGTCTTGAGCTCATGGACATCACCAGATGCTGGGTTTCCTCCTTTTTAATGCTCTGTAAGGCCTTTATGCAGTGGCCTTGATTTATTAAACTCCTGACTTCCTTTGACTGCATGTTTTTGTCATTGTCCATCTATATAGTAAAACAACACCCAATCAATTTGACTTTTTTCCTAAACTGTGCTGGCTTTTCTTGGCAACTTAAGGATGGCTTGTTTTTCTGCATGGAGAGCTCTTTGGATTGCATTTTCTCTGGTCACAGTGAACTCTTCCAAATGCAAGCACCACATCTCAAATCAGCTACAGGACTTTTGTCTGCTTAACTGATAATGACATAATGAAGGAACTGCCCACACCTGCATTTGAGTCAATTGTTCAACTACTACTGTTCCCTTCAAAAATAGGGTGGCACATGTTAAGGAGCTAAAACTCTTAAAGCCTTCATCCAATCTGAATGTGGACGCTGAGAGTCTGTATATTATGTCCATGTCCATTATATAACTATAATTGGCATATGTTGCAGTGAACAGGTAATAAAAAAAACTTGTGTCAGTGTCGAAAAATATATGTACCTAACAGTATGTATATGAAGAGCCTCAGCTGGGCTCAGGCAGTTTGAATCATTCATAAGTCTGTGATTGTATCATTATTTCCTCTTCTTTTTTGTCATAGTTTTTTCTTTTTTTAAATGAGTACAGTCTCCCAAACAGAGGGTCATCCCTGACCTGACCTGAAGTATTTCAGCTGTGCAAGAAACTCAGTATTGGAACATGTGGGTGGCCCCAAAGACACATGAAGCTCAGTGAGCTGGGACTCGTGGATCCTCCAGGCATTCTGGTTCAGCTTGGGATTCTGAGGAACCACATTCGTCTGGGTGGCGTTGAGGCTAGGGACTGCAGGTAAGAAGTAAAAGAGGGACAAGATTACAGTTTCTCAGTCCAAATAAAAGGTGAGAGTCTAGATGAGTCTAGAAGTGGCTTAGTCAGTACTTCAAATATTGTAGAAAATTATTAAATACAAGCATGTCTAGAAAAAAACGTTGAAACATAATGCTGTAGTTCCGAGAGCTGTATTTACGTATGGTAAAGCTGAAGAAGCATTTTAAATGTCTTTAAATAAAAAATGTTAAGCTTTGCCTGGCCTTTCTCATAATGGTAGTCAATCTAAACTTTACTTTGCAAGTCTAAGCTGTAGGTTTATATGTAACATTTTATTATGTCAGCTTAAAGTGTAGCTAATATAACACCTCCTGAGAGTCAGTTTAATCACCAATTTCCAGCTTATTCACTGTATGACAGCATTTACAGTTTAATTACAGGTTTAAGACTCCTGTTGTTGCTCTGTCTTTATCACAGGCCCTCGATTGGGCTGAGTGTGTACATTGAATACAGTACTGTAGACTGCACAACCTTCTCGCCTTCCTTTGCGACACAGTTACTAATAAATAACCACATTATCCTTGTGCTTCTCATTTTTATTCATTTATTTAATATTTAATAGTAAGGATTCATTGGTTTAAAAGTTGTAAAACAACAATATACAATTAAAAGATCCTTAAATTTACTGCCATCATTGCTTTTATGCTCTGCAATTGTTGTAAAACAACTCTCCCACTGGCTGCGCCGTGAACTGCTGCAAGAATGTTTCCAGTTTATCCAGAGAGAGCTGCTCCACCAAGTTGTCCTCTGTGTTTCTTGCTCTGGCAGCGCCGCTCTGAATGGGTCTGTCGTTGTTGTCCACACAGCAGTAGGCATTCCACAGGTAGTCTGGGATGTTGACACGCTTAACATTGTTTTTAACAATCCAGCTGTCTGCAGAAGGAATGGCACCGACCAGCACGTACGCGTTAGGGCACTTCTCCAGAAAAAGCTCAGTAAGCTGGGACTCGTGGATCCTCCAGGCATTCTGGTTCAGCTTGGGGTTCTGAGGAACCACATTAGTCAGGGTAAAAGTGGCGTTGCGACTAGGGACTGCAGGAGAGAAGGAGAAGAAGGACAACCTTAAAGTCTCTCTGTCCAAAGAAAAGGTGAGAGCCACGATGAGTCAAGAAGTGGGTTACTCATTTTCATTCAGCAATTAAAATATTCTAGAAAATTATAAATTTCAAGCATGTTTAGCAGAAAACATTGAAACATAAGGCTGGAGATGCTGCTCGTTAGTTAAGTCTATCTATCCTCAGCTGCTGCAGTCAAAAACAATTCCCCAGTCCTGTACTGCCATCTACTGTCTACCCTCCTGAAAAACATACAACCTGGATGGTGTCCATTGGGGTTGAGGTGACCACGGTCAAAGCCTGAATTTGTGTAGTCCTCATTCAGAGCTTGTCTCTCTCCAAGGTAGACACCAGGGTGATCCTGCCCCAGCCAGTATCCATCTTTCATCTCTCCCTGCCAAGACCGATCTACCAGCTAAGATGCATGGAAACAAGATAGCAAATAATTAATTCCTTACGATCTAAAAATGTCTAAAAGAACAGAAAATGTAAATTTTATGACTCTATATTCTTCATACTTTCTCTCTGACATAAATATATATGCAAAATAAGCTCATGTGGAACAAACCTGTGGCTCTACAAACCACCTGTTCTCCCTGCCACCTCCATTACTGGGCTGGAATTGATAGGCAGAGTAGACAGCAATGCGATGGATGGTGTCATACAGTGTGGCAAAGTGATACCTGATGGTGCAAATATTAGCAATAGATCAGAAGTGCTACTATGATAAATAAAGAACAAAGAAAGTTTTCGTTCTAAAAGTGATAAGCAGCAGTTGGATTTTCAACGATACCATAGAAAAACAGTATTCTGAGTACACATTACAATGCTGTGTATGCTGATTCAGTTTTAAAGTATTCTTTCTGCCGGTTTACTACCTGTTGACAAAGCGCTGACAGAGGCGGGCAGCACCAGGTGTGGATGCTCCCAACTCAGGCACCTTTTCTTTGTAAAAGTACTTCATGCATTCTGGTGCATCCTGGGGCAAAATGATAAAATACATAATAATTAATAGTAACAGAAGTGAAGCTATTTGATAAGACACATATTTAATTATTCTGATAATCTGGAATAAGAAACCAACAAACCTCAAAACGTTCCACAACATCTGCGTGGACAAAACAGAGGAGCGGGAGAAGAGCACACAACGTTATGAATGTTTGCATTCTGGATCAGAAGTGTGGTGTCTGAGATTATTGACCTGAATAAAACACAAAGCAATAACACTTTTGATAACAAGGCGTTACATTACAAAGTATATGCTGCCATGTATGTATAGCTCAGGCCATCACGTATGGTACAAATAAGCTAATTGCTGCTTTGGACCATCTGTGTTGATATTTGTGTGTTTCCACTCACCTGCTGGTGCACCTGTCTGCTGCCACAGTTCACCCTGAAGAAACTGGCTTTTATATGTGACTTCTCACCACTCCCTTTCACTCTGTTTGTCCAGTTTTATCTGAGCACATGATATTTGTGTGGAATGAACCAGAATCTGCTTACCAAAGAGCGGGTGCGGCTGACTAGATGATGTAGAAAATGGTAAAATTAGCACTATGATAGTGAGAGTGTGAGTAAATCTTAGTCACTTGCTTGAGTACAAGGGAGTACAGTGTTCTGTTTAAAAACAAAAGAAAGAAAGAAAGAAAGAAAGAAAGAAAGAAAGAAAGAAAGAAAGAAAGAAAGAAAGAAAGAAAGAAAGAATATATCAGCAGTAATATAGTATTCCAAAATATGTTCCATCCATCCATTCGCTTCCGCTTATCCTTTTCAGGGTCGCTGGAGCCTATCCCAGCTGTCATAGGGCGAAAGGCGGGGTACACCCTGGACAGGTCGCCAGTCTGTCGCAGGGCTAACACATCCAAAATATGTTTTATGCTCTAAATATATTCTGACAAAATGACATTTTGATTAGAAAACTTTTACCTCAAAGTATTCAAAACAAACACTTACTGTTTCTGGTTTTAAACCCTGCTGTGCATTTGATTTCTTGCCTAATACTCTATGAAATCAAGAATCACATCCAGTAAATATTTTTAGCTACTGTCTGATTCTTTGGAAACAAGAACATTTCACTGCGTGTCATTCAGAAAGTTGCATGTTTTTAATGATTGGTTTTTAATGACTGTTTCCCTACTAACAGGCTCATACAACATAAAAACCTCTTACTTCCAATGCAGTTATTTGCACTCCAGATCACCTCCTGGAATATTACTAGCATGCGGTTTTGACAGATTTACTTACACTCTCCAACAATCAGTTCTTGGTTGGGCAGCACAGTGCTATCTGTTCATATGCTGATTTTCCCACGATTACAACAGGAGCTACAGTTAAACCTCACATATGGACTCTTCACAGATATCCAATATATTTAGTTCAGCTGATTAATCTAACAACTTGTTTGCATTTTGACTTGTTCCATTTACTCAAATAGGCCAAGAGGTCATCACAGAAAGTTAATACTGTTCATCTGGAAGCAGCGCTTCCAGAGGTGTGAGAGACACATTTCATCACCAATCAAAGTGACTTCTTCGGACAGCTGAAACAAAAACTAGCATCATTTCCTAACAATGAGCCATAAACTCAGCTTCATGATCATTAATATGTAAACTGTCTTGACCATTGATTAAAGGTCATGATTACAGTTCAGAGAGTTGGGGAATAGACGCAATCAAAGTATTGTAAGCTTGTGAAAGATGGACTCTTAGGCCAGATTCTTGGTTCCAAAACGGTTGTTCCCTTTGCACATAAATGGCATCTATAGCCTCTTTTCCACATTACCTACTTGGGTTGGCTCAATTTAAGACAACTCTACTCTAGTCAGTTTCAGTTGTTTTCCATTACAATTGATCCATTACAACCAACTCAGTTCACTGAAGTAGGTGCTAAAAAAATAGGTGGTACCAGGTACTATCCAGATGAGCAGTAATACTCTTTAATTACTAATTGCTTTTTTCAAGTAACGAGTAAAGTAAGGGATTACTATTGCAAAAAAGTAATTAGATTACTATTACTTTCTCGTGAGATTGCTGCTTTACTGAGTTACTAAACCATGATTTTTGTCTCATGACAATGAAATATGAGCATGCAATGTCTGTGGCAGCAACACGTGTGTAGATCAAAAATGTAAAATAGGGATTAGATTAGATTAGATTAGTTGAAACTTTATTAATCCCTCGGGTGGGTTCCTCCAGGAAATTCGGTTTTCACAGCACGGACAGAAGTTACAGAATGTGAGCAGAAATATACCATATATACACATATATAAATACAGAGTATACAAAAGGGATAAATAGAATAAATAGGAATACAAGGGAATTGCACATTTCAAGTATGTGAGTCTATTGCACCGTTGGATATTAACAAAAAGTATTGCACAGTGAAGAGGCACTACAGCTTAGTTGTTCCCCCCTCCTTTGTCCTCCTGTTTCCTCTCCCTCTCCCCTCCAGAGAGGAGTTAAACAGTCTGATGGCGTGTGGGACAAAGGAGTTTTTAAGTCTGTTAGTTCTTGACTTTGGGAGAAGCAACCTGTCACTGAACAGACTCTTCTGGTTGTTAATGGCCATGTGCAGAGGATGCCCAGCATTGTTCATAATGTCCAGCAGTTTCTTTAATGTCCTTTTCTCTGCCACTGTCACCAGAGTGTCCAACTTCATGCCGACCACAGAGCTAGCCCTCCTGATCAGTTTTTCCAGCCTGGATGAGTCCTTCTTTGCTGTGCTGCTCCCCCAGCACACCACAGCATAGAAAAGTACTCCAGCAACCACCGACTGGTAAAACATCCTCAGGAGCTTCCTGCAGATGTTAAAAGACCTCAGCCTCCTGAGGAAGTACAGTCTGCTTTGGCCTTTTTTATACAGGTGCTGAGTGTTGCATTACCAGTCCAGTTTGTTGTCCACCCACAGCCCAAGGTACTTGTATGTGTTGACCATCTCCAGCTCCTCTCCTCTATCTGAATTGGCAGTATACCTGCTCTGGACATCCCGAAGTCCACAACCAGTTCCAGGTGGTTTGTGTGACTCCATGTGACAAAGTTCATCACCAGACTCCTGTATCCCTCATCTGGAGAAGTCAGACAACCATATAGGGCAGAATGTTGTTGAACACGGAAACTTGTTTAACTGTCATTAATTAAAACCTGTGCATGTGATATTCTTTCCAACGCGAGAACAGCCATAAACTGTTCAGACTACTTCCATCAGGAAGGAAGTTCTGCACCATCCGGTCCCGTACCAGCAGACTGAGAGACAGCTTTTTCCAACAGGCCATCAGACTGCTGAACACTTCATAGACACCTCACCTTTACTACTGGAACTTCAACACATGCACTCCACACTGTATATAAATGCCACTTGTTTTGCACATGTCCAACTACCAACCTCTGTAAATTTCATATATTTTATTTTATTGTTTACTCTATTTAATTTGTAAAATATGTATGCACACACACACACACACACACACACACACACACACACACACGTAGAAAAACATTTAGTATACACATCCAGTAATGCATACAGGCTTATATTGTACATATATTTATTACTCTCAGATTTAGTGTCAGGTTTCAGTTAACGGACTCAGGCGCAGACCGGGACTCCTTACAGGATTTACAGATTTTATTTACTCAACGACACCAGGTGATGCTATTTACAAAGTGCTGGAGGGAGGGGAGGGGGGTCCAGGGTTCCGGGGTATGTGAGGGATAAGACGGGAATCTGACGCCCTCCAAAGGCTCTCTCTCTTCACTCCCCACACTGGGGAAACACCATCCACTCACTCGTCCACGGGATGACAGGCAGGCTGGGAAAGGTCCGGGATAGATCTGTACACAGAGATGATAGTTAGAGGCGAACAGACGGAACGAACTCACAGATCCTTATTTCAATCTACTGAGCGACTGACGCTGATAACTCAACGATCCAGCGACGAGTGACACAGTGCTGCTGTCTTAAATCGGCCTTGTGATTATCCCGATCGCAGCAGGTGCGTGGGCCAGGGGCGGGAGCCCATAATGAGCATCGCCCCGGCAGGAGAGAGAGAAGAGAGAGAGAGAGAGAGAGAGAGAGAGAGAGAAGAGACGAGAGAGAGAGAAGAGAGAGAGAGAGAGAGAGAGAGAGAGAGAGAGAGAGAGAGAGCGAGAAAACATGTTGCCTAATACAGAATCAGCTGGTGAGGCACAGGGACCATGACAGTACCCCCCCCTCAACGGGAGCCCCCCGGCGACCCACCAGGCTTATCCGGATGCAGACGATGGAACGCCCGCAGCATGCGCCGGTCCAGGACGGCCGCCCGAGGGACCCAGGACCGCTCCTCCAAGCCATAGCCCTCCCAATCCACCAGGTACTGGAAGCCACGCCCCCGCCGCCGAGAATCCATGATACGGGTGATCGAGTAAGCCGGCAGACCGTCCACGAGCCGGGGGGGAGGAGGGGGCCTGGAAGGCGGGCACAGAGGACTGGACCGGAGAGGTTTAACCTGAGACACATGGAAGACATCGTGTATCTTCATGTTGCGAGGCAGCTTGAGCTTAATAGACACAGGGTTAACCAAAGCCGAGATCTCGAACGGGCCGATATAGGCAGGAGAGAGCTTCCTGGATTCCGCCCGGATGGGAACGAAGCGTGTGGAAAGCCATACCTTCTGCCCAACAGTATAGGCGGGAGCGGAGGACCGGCGGCGGTCAGCGAAGCGTTTGTTGCGGTCCTTGGTGCGTAAAAACGCAGCCCGGGTGGCCTTCCACACCCGACGACACCTACGCAGATGCGCCCGGACGGATGGCACTGAGTGTTCGCCTTCGATGGAGGGAAAAAGAGGTGGCTGGAACCCCAGAGAAGCTTCGAAAGGGGACCGGCCCGTGGCGGAGGAGGTCATGCTGTTGTGGGCGTACTCGATCCAGGGCAGTTCCTCGCTCCAGACGGCCTGGTTGGAAGAGACGACGCAGCGCAGGGCCGCCTCCAACTCCTGGTTCACCCGTTCGGACTGGCCATTGCTCTGCGGATGATAACCAGAGGAGAGACTGACCTTAGATCCCAATGAGGTGCAGAACTCCCTCCACACACGGGACGTGAATTGAGGACCCCGGTCAGACACTATGTCATCTGGAATGCCGTGCAGGCGAAAGACATGGGTGGTGAGCAGGCGAGCAGTCTCCAATGCTGTAGGCAGCTTGGGCAGAGCAACAAAGTGAGCCGCCTTAGAAAAGCGGTCAATGATCGTGAGTATGACCGTATTACCTGCAGATGGCGGGAGGCCAGTCACAAAATCCAGAGAAACATGGGACCATGGTCTGGTGGGCGTGGGTAAGGGATGAAGTGAACCCGAGGGTGGCTGGTTTGGGATCTTGTTTCGAGCGCAGGTTGTACACGCGGAGACGTATTCCTTGGCGTCCCGGCTCAGGGTGGGCCACCAGAAGTAGCGCTGCAGGAAAGTAATTGTGC